GAAGGCGCCAAGAATTCTGGCGCCCTTCACAGGAAGGGTTCAAGAAGGGACCCTGGGAAGGGGGGGCCTGAATGGTGGTTGCCAGCCTTTGACTTCGGCCCGGGCACGGCGAAGTGCCTGCGTGTGCCGCGGCGGTGGCATGAAGCCCACTAGAAGAGGGGTGTCTGCGGGCTTGAGATCTGTGTTCCCGCATCTCTAGTCTCACGCGCCGCGCAGTCGAGCGAGCCGGCATACCGGCCAACGTACTCTTTGGTCTGCATCCGCACCTTGACCACCTGGAAGGGCTGTACCACGGCCGCCTCGAACGGGCCGCTTGCCGCGCCAGCGGCAACGGAGGCGGCCACCTCGTCGAGCGAGGTGTGTGCCAGCAGCAGCTGCCGCGCCCCATCGTATGAGGAGTACATGGCCGCGCTCTTTGGCACCATTCCGGCGAACTCGGGGCCGACGCCCCGGTAGAAGCGACGGAAGCCGCCCTCGGCGTGGATGGCTTGCAGCGAGGAGGCCACGGACCGGGCCTGGCTGGACAGGTGGTGGCGGGTCTTTACCATGTCGAACGGCTGGCAAACAGCACATTCGATCAGGCCTACCGCGGCGCCAGCGGCGATCGACTCCATCGGCAATCGTGCGTCAGCACTGTGCGCTTCGAGGAGGAACGCCCTTCCAACAGAGAGCAGAAGAGCGTGCCGCGCACAGCGAAGGCGAGGACGGCGAGGCACTTAGCTCCGTGCACTCGACGGGGGACCGCCCTCAGGCAAGCACATTCACGTAAACGCACAACCCCGGGCCCCGAAATCGCACAGTGATGACAGTGACATGCAACACGGGGTCCCAGGGAAGGCGAGCAAAAACCTTATCGCGCGCGCTAGACGCCGACTCGGAGGCCGCACCGGTCGGGCGCGCAGCCGGAGAGAGAGGGAGGCGCTCAATCGCCGAACTCGGCGAGCGCCTCCAGCGTCTCCGCTTCGTACGCACCCTCCTCCCAGCAATTGAGCGCCTCCTCCACCCCCGCGCCCGCGCCCGCAGCGTCCGTGCCCGCGAGGATGGCAGCGACGCGCTCCTTCTGCCGAGCGTTCGCCTCCGCCTTCGCCTCCTGGGCGTCCGCCTCCATGACCCGCACCACCTGCTCCCTCCACACGGCGACCCGCCCGGCCAGCTGGAGGTAAGCGTCCGACGACAGCAGGAGCGCCCTCCCGGCCGCCCGCGAATCGGCGCGCGCGCGCCCCGACTTCTGCTGCGCGTTGCGCCTGGCCCTGCTCGACCGTTGCGGCCGCAGCTCCAGCACGACGTACGTGTGGCGTTGCGGGCCAGGCTCGCGGTACACCGGCACCCCGTCCTCGTCCGCGTATCCAGGCTCGCCGGGACGGGCCTCGCTCCAGGCTGTGACCAGCCCGGAGGCTTTCAGCTCCTCCCCGATCTCCTCGCCCTCAGCAACGAGCTCCGCCCGCCGTCGGGCCGCGCGCTTGGCCCGGAATGCCACCGCCTCAATCTACGCCGCAAAAAGAAGAATTTTGAGCGCCCTGGCATGGTGGCAGTGGGACGGCCGCGAGGTGGCATGAAGGTTGCAGCGAGAAGCGGCGAGAGACTGCGAAAAGAGATAGGAAGAGGCAGACTCCCTAGGGTAGGCGACGGCTAGCGCATCACACCCCTCTCCTTAAAATCCCTGGGTGGTGGCGGCGTGCCGTCCTCCCATCCCTCCCTTGGGTTGTCTGTTTTCTTTCTTTCTTTGGACTGGAAAAAGGCACAGCAGGCGACAGCCCCTTATGGGCCGTCGAAGAGAATTTCGGGGGCGCACGCCTTTCCTTAAATTCCCTTTTCTCGCGGCCGTTCTTCTTCTTTTGGGGGGCAAAAAGATTTTAACAGGGCGAGGGCGGGCTGGGCGCGGCTGAGCGATCATATATAATCGTTGGCACCACGCGCACAAGCCTCGAGTTGTCCACGCCGGAGTTTGCAAAAGTAACACGAAAGTTATACGCGCGTCCGCCCGCCCGCCGCTGAGGAATGCACCGTGTCACTCGGGACACGGTGGCCGTCATCGGCGTCATTGGCCGGGACGATGTCGCGCTTAGAGAACACGTCCGAGAGGCGTGGAGCAGCGCATCCCATCTGCCGCACAGCCTGGCCCTGCGATTTGCTGTCTCCACGCATGACAGCGACGGAGCGGCCACAGCGGTCGGCAGCG